TAAATCACATAATTATGAGTGCAAATAATGCAGGGTCCTGCCTGAAAAGTGGTCAGGAAAGAGAACGTCGCGTGAAATCACTGATATACCAGTGATACAGCTCTAACTGGACTCGCCTTAACGTGTTCAGCTTTAACATTTTCAGCTCTGTCAGTACAGGCTTTAATATGTTTAGCTTTAGCATTCAGCACTAACTGTGTGACTGGACCAGACTAGTAATCAGCGTAATGAGTGCGTGATTACGTAAAGTTGCAGGAAGTTTACTTGTTGATAAATACACACGGGATTTAGATCGATGCTATGTCTCGTTCGATAGCGCTTGCTTATAACCACAAGTTGGATCGGGTCTAATTAAATTAAATCAATTACCAAAAATTTATAATTGTGCTGCACACCATTTTGTAATGCAAATGATTAAAATAAAATCGAAAATTGAATCCAAACAAAGTACGTACCATTCAAACCCGGTGATATTCGGTTTTCAATGAAAGACATTTGGCATAAAAGAGTTGCGTTTGCTCAACAGCGTCGTCCGCTCGGTCTTTTCACTTTAATGATGAATGCATTGTATGCGTGCCAAGAGATCGTCTCGGTTCTTGTTTCGACCGCGTTGACAACTGAAAACCGAGATAGAAAACTATTTTCCTGTCTACCGACATTGAATCAAGCTTTCACGCTCTTACGTATATACGAAATCTCGAGATACAACGAGACTGCAGTCAGAACCTCGTGTGAATTTCTTCGTTGAATTTCTATTGAAAATCTTGCAAATACGCGACTGAGTAACAGAGTAGCTTTAGAACCTGTAGCAATGTTACACAAGATGAGAACACATGACATGCCAGAGATAACTAGCCGTGGTAAATAACGTATTAGTCATTCATTCACGATTGCCTGTAGTAAGCCAGATTGCAGCGTCACGAGTGACGTCAAAGGCGGCGATACCAACGACCGTGAGAACTCTCCACGTGGTGGAGGGTGATTTTCGTCCATGCGCGCGAGCGGCTGCATTTTTTCACAGTTTTGTTATTGTTTACATGGTTGCTATTCTTCCTCATTATGAATTGATCCTAACTAAATTAAAAATCCCTGCTTTTTTTAATCAGAATATTATATCCTAACAGGGTATGAATATCTTAAAATGAATGTCTACATCTATGCGTATCTCAAAAATGAAGGCAAGAAATTTTTGTTCCAAATGATTTCATTGTATTAAAGTATGTGAGAATTTATTCTCGAATGGATATTTCATTAAAATACTTTTGAATGTCATTTGTTTGAATGGATTTAGCATTAATATAAAGAATACAAATCGTTTTAGCCCATGTACAAAACCAAATGTAAATAACGGCAAATGAATTATCTTCACCCAGGTACAAATACAGTGAAACGCTCTGTTACACGTTCAAACACTCATGAACATCAAACGCCATTCTTACACACATTTTAAACGCACGAGGCAATTTTAGTTTGACATTTTTCATTTGTTGAAGTCCAAGAATAAATATTTACAAAGTGAGGCCTGAGCTGCAGCTCGGCGTAGGTACACAGGTAAGCCGGCCCATGCGTCTCGTCGAGGTCGCGTTCGGAGACCTGCATATTGCATAAGCAGATCACCTATCAGCCCGATCCGCGCTTGTATGATTTACGATTCGCTATAAATTGTAGATAAATTTGTTAGATATTAGAAATAATAATGGGAGCATTTTTAATATTAAATGACTCTCGTAATTCAAAAGCCACGATTCGTTGTGCTAGGCTCTGATAACTTCTTGATACATGAAATTGATTCTGCCGTCAGTTAAATCGTCACAATCTTGCACGAGCTGCATTGGACTCTGCCGTCAGCCGACTTGTCAACATTGCATTGAAGAATTTTAAACATAACGCGCGAAAGGATGAATTTGAAAATCGACTCACGTTACAAGTAAACCTATGTTGGATATAATATTTACAATTCAATCAAATATACCTCATGTGTCCCACTAGTGTTAATTTAATCTATGAAAAACGCGAATTCATCTAGATGCCAAGCTTAATGCGTCTCCACGTTGCCGTCTTAATGTTAGTCCAAGGCACGCAAAATAATGACAAATGGGCATAAAGAAATAAACAGGCGGTTATTTTGTGCAAAATAAATTAATTCAACCTGTTTGTTTTTACGTAGGAAATACAAGATTCTCGCAGACGGTTTTACAGCATCTAGAGAGCAGTGCAATCACATCCAGAAGACTAATTTTCAAGCAAACTATATCGAATTGCATGCATGCAGTCGCCAACAATCACAGCGAAAATGCTTTCAAATACATAAATGTTTATTTCAGACGCCCTCAGTTGGTCCCCGAAACCAAGTCGTAGTCTTAGATTCCAATTCAGACCGTTTTCTTCTTTAGGGAATCCCACAAGGTCCTTGAACGTTACAGTGGACAATTCGGCCTGGCAGAGCGTAAATAGATCCGGCTGGAGTTGAGTTTGGAAGGTAGCATAACGTTACACACAAAGCAGAAAAATATTCGTAGCAAAAAGCAGAATATTATTGAAGCATCAATGCATATCCAACAGTCTAATTCTAAAAATCCCAAGCCTCTACTTTGGACATGATTAAACAAACCGTTAAAAATCGTCCGGGTAGTTGAGTGCAGATCTTGAATCTAGTGTTGCCGAGCGGAAGGAGTTCTCTATTCAACGATGGACGCACTGGCTTCGCTAGCGAATTGCGGACATGCAACAGTCCTGATTCTCGTCGCACTCGAAGTTAACGTCACATCAAATTGATCCGATTCATGAATGAAAGTTGTATAATCTCAACACATTTGCTGCAGAAAAATTGAATCGCACATTATCGAGTCCACTGAATGGCATCAACAACTTGAGACAACCGGGAGAGTTCAAAGTTAGCCTCTACGTCAGAAAATTTTAAATAACACCAATTTCCCGGTAAAATTACAACTGCCGTTCAGAAAATCACAGTTCATCAGCAATAGTGGTAATGAAATGACAAGAAAGTGTTTTCGCTGATTTATTCCTTACTTTTCATTTCCATCTAAGTATATTCAACACAACATATTAATAGTGCATATAAATGCTATTCGTGCCCAATATTCTCAAATCCCTTGACGCCGAAGTCACCAACTTAACCCCAAATTCACGATAGTAAGTTAGGAAGTCAATTTCACTTGATCTGCAGCGCGTGTGACTAACAACATTGTTGAGATTCGGCGGCGTCACGCGGCTGCTCTACTTACGACGGTGACACAATCGCCTGGTCATTTGCTGTGCCTCCACGAACATAATTCGCACACACATATATAAATTGGACATCAATGAGCACGAAGTAGCTTTTATTATATTTAAAATTGGACTAACGTGCGGAACAAACGGAAATAAGATTTTAGCGTTCAAACATTTAAAATAAATGACACTGAAAGCCAGCCTCAAAGCGATTAAAATAGATTAGACTGGAGAAGCGTCATAGTTTCATATATTTAAATAAAAACCGTCAAGGCCGAAAACATTCAAAGCAAAGCCAGGCTTTGCATTCGAGAGACAAATGACATGCTACTCAAGGACAACAATTACTCGGTTTGAACTTCGGAATCTTGTTAAGAATAAGCACCCCAGTATGACCTTGTTAAGAAAACGCAATGTATTTCTTACATCGAATTGTAATTCTCAAAAAATGTTTAAATGGACCTAATTTGTTTCCATTGTTCATTCAATTAATCTTGTTAAGAATGCACACCTCAGTAATGTTCTTGTTAAGAAAACGCACCCCAGTAACGTTTAGAGTGCTTACTCTTAACAAGATCCAAACTTCGTTTTCAAATCACGCTTGCTTAAACAGATTACCTTTACACAAGTCCCAAAAACGCATGCCACAAATTTCAAATTCAACAAATTCAATTCTGAAACAGTAATTGATAGAGTACAATTTTTCATTTATTTGGAGATATTTACACAACAAAAAACGTAGAGACAGGCATATTGATAATAATATAATAATAATAGCGGTTTCAACGTTTATTAGGCCGTAGGCTGTCGCCGATTCTTAACATAGCAGAACATTCACAGCTGGTTGCGGTGAATGTTGCGTGCGGTGAATGTTGCGAGCGGTGAATGTTGCGGTAACCACCGGGTACACAGAAAACTTTTAATAGTTTAATTAAATTCAGCGGTAAAAAAATTCTACTTTTCTGCCGACGTCCACCATAACTAGTGATTAGTGAACATTGATCATGGCCATGTTCTGAGAGGAGTAACCACACCGAAATTCCCACACAGCAGGTAGTAGCTGGTCGGAAAAGAAGGCAGAGAATACTTCTTTGTCTACCACAAAATGTTTTTTTAATCTGAATGAAGCATTAGAACTTAATACTAAGTTCAACTTTCGTCGTCACGTGACACGACAATCAATTGGACGGTCCCGTCATCTTCTGTGACCTAACTTCTAGCTCAGACAATGGGCGGGCACACAGGCTCAATGTCGACTCTATGAGTTGCCTGGAATTTACCGCTAACGTAACGAATACAACGGCAAACTTTACTGAACTTATGGACGCTGAGGCTACATAATCTTCTTTATTGCTTATATCGAGCGCCTAGATCGTTTTAACTAGCAAAGAATAATTTGCAATTGTTAGGAAGACCTCATAACAGGATACGATTTTCGTGGCTTCCAAGTTAACGGATTTTCACAAGCAAAGTAAGCACGCATTATCAATGAAAATTATTCAGAACATTGTATATGAAACCCCAAATAATTCAATGATAATTTCAGTCATTTCAAATCATAAATCATGTTTTCCGTACCGACACAAGGCAAAAAATAGATGTTAAAATAGTCAAAAGTAGATCTAGACGCATTACGGGTCTCAGAGAAAGGGTCAATCAAACAGCACACGAGACAAGTGGTAAAGCTTAGGTCAGTCATCAGTCATGAACAACACGACCATCCTAACTTGGTTCAGTCATAAACAATCCGACCACCCTAACCATCTCACCTATTTTGCCGAGGCAGGCCAAGAAGATCCATAAGCTGATGATGAAGGGCGTCTCAACTCGTTCAAAATCCTCAACAATGACCGGAAATCTTTCAGCCGGTGGTGCAGTGGTCGGTTTAAATGTGAAATTTGAGGTCGTTTGATGAGTTTCATTTGGGCTGAAGAAGTTTGTAGACGATGCAATTGTGTTGCCAGACACAAGCACACTCGAGTTACCCACCAAAATAAGAGTCAATAAACACGCCAGTGTGAATCTTTGTCCAGTCATTTTACTTATCATGCTAACAGCGGCCATCGTGAAAAGGAGAAATGTTGCACTGAAAACACAGCTTATGAAACTTGCTACCTATAAGAAGTACGCATAAAAAGGATCAGGTAGTGTCACACGTCTTACAACACAAAATATTGACACCGGCGTTCCTGTCATGGCATACACATCAGCTGGTGAGATTGCATCGCGTTATTTTAGAAACAATAACATCGTTCCATGTAATGTTTTCAAAAAATTGTCAGCTGAGGGTCGCTCCTATAAATCTTAATGGACACAACAAGAATAGAGTCCGTCAAAACACTGGACGCCAAGATAAAAAAATGAAAAAGTCAAGCGTTTCTTATGGATCTGGCGGCAGTACTTCACCCTAACGTATCACAGCGACGCCGCGACTGCAACTGTTGGCCGAATGGCAGTGCGCCTGTGGGCCGCTGCTGCAGCGCGGTGATCTGCTAAAGGTTACTCGCCCAGCCTGATCCAAACGACCGGCCTAACCGCTTATCTTTGGGCTCCTCCGGAACTCATACGGAGGCTATTAAATTGGACTGAGGAAAACTTCAATTTTCCGCAGGAGTTCTGAGAAATAATAGTTACCACAAAGAAACCACAACTTCTTTCTCGATCAAGGTTTATGTCGACAAGGAGCTGAAATTTTCTAAGAAGCAAATAGAAACGCAAGCCAATAAATGCAACAAACTTCTAGGGCTGATCAGACGCTCTTTTGAGTTCCTACATGCAGAAGCAATGAAGCAGTTGTTTGTTGCTGTCGTGCGCTCAAATCTAGAGTTTGGAAACGTTGTGTGGTCACCGAGATTTGAAAAGGACAAAAATTTAATAGAGATGTTCAAAGACATGCAACAAAGATAATTCCAGGCTTGAAGAGCAAGTCCTGTGAAGAAAGATTAAAGATTATGAAGCTTTCAAGCCTCATTTATCGACGTCTGCGTGGGGACCTCATTGAAGTATACAAGTATACTCATGGTTTATACAAGGTCCCAGAAGGATTGTGGGTACCTCATTGAAGTATACAAGTATACTCATGGTTTATACAAGGTCCCCGAAGGATTACTAGAATTTGAAACAAGAATCAACACCAGGGGCCACGGCTTTAAACTAAAAAAACTGCGTTGCAACTCATCCACGCCACAACATTTCTTCTCGCTTCGATCACCGACATGTGGAACAGCCTCCCAGGTTCCATCATTGACGCTCCGAGTAAAACGCGTTCAAGAACAGACTAGATAAAGTAATGGAAAAAAATATGTACAGACTTGAAAAGTCTAGCTCCATATCGAACCCGGTGGAAGAAGTAGCTATTTCAAACTATCGTCAGTTCTGGAAAAGATCCGGTCGAAGGAACTGTTTTTAGATCTCCTGCGGACAAGTCACGAAAAGTACAACAATCGGCGACAGGCCACATCAGGCCAATTCCTCAGCGCCGACGTCACTATGTTATGTTATGCTGTAAATCACCAAATAAACGTAAACCAACTTGGAAATAAGTTAACACGTTGAGTGCGGTACGACCCACCAGAGTTGCCAGATAGCCTAAAAAGTCCGCAGACAAAAAAGAACTACAATTCAATATTTACAAGTAAATTTGTAGGTTCCGTTGCAATAATTAGATGTTCCTTTTTTGTACTATTTAAAATGTAATAAGGAAGTATCGCCATCATAAACTTTTTTACTTCGACCCACCGGTGGGGCGTGCTGCACTCAACGTGCTAAGGATAATTAGATGGCTTTTAAATATCAGTTCTAACAATGACTAACTGATCCTTTCAATTACTGATGTAAGGTTGGTCATGTAAAAACTTAGATTTGGACCCCAAAACTTTGAGTTAACCTAGCTGAAAACCCGTTTCTGTTTTTGTTTCAAATTTAATGCGGTGAAATCAGAATTTTTGAGCACTGTGTGTTATTTGCTGTACAAATAAAGTTCTTTGCATTTCAAACCATATTCATACAAAAGAAGATAGCGAAATTTTTCATCAGAACTCAATGAAATGATTCGGAGACCCGTTCCATCATCTGATAAACAACATAAAAATTCAGAAGACGACATTCATAAGTGAAACTAGAAATCGAAAATAACAACATAGAGATAAATGTAACTAAACCGACATTTTTTCTAATTCGTAAGATCCACCTCATAATAATTGGGAAGTAATCATCCATTTCATAATAATTGAGAAGTAAGCATCCACCTCATAATAATTGAGAAGTAGGTAAGCGTACACCTCATAATAATTGAGAAGTAAGCATCCACCGCATCTTAACATGAAAGAAAAGTGACAAAATTGTCACTTGAGAAAAAAACATGAATGCATTATTTTTTCCATTACCATGTACAAGAATCATATATTAGCGCTTCGTGACTTCAGCTCTCGGAACTCTACTTTTACCGGATTCACTACCAGTTTCCAATTTCGCTACTTCCACTCTAGATTGAAACAAAATTGAATGTTATACTTTCAACTTCCTTTTACCTTTAGCGAAATGGAAGCTAACTCAAATTTTTGCGTATTACTTTCTCGATGAATTATTTCTATGTCCTCACTAGATGAGATTGAATCCAAACAAATCATTGTACACCAAAACACTTTGCTCCCGACTCAGAAAAAGTGCATCAAAAATTAAATATTCAATGCATGAAATGCTTCTTCATGTTAACTTAATCGTACTCTAATAAATAATTGTAAACTCGTTTTGTTCTTCAGGTAGGAAAAATTTAGTTTACGTGTTATCCTCTCCAGTATATAAATATATAGGTGGGCAGTGGTTTATCGCCGCAAGTTGTTCAGATATCATACATTCCTCAATGCTCGGGGAACTAAAATGAGTGGTAGAAGTTGTCGCACTAGAAGCCGACCTGGTCATCCGCACCTCATTAAACTTTTTAGCTTCCCTTTTGGAGATTGTAAATTGAGCATCTAGGACTCTCTACATATTTTTAATCACTGATCTAATCTGAATGACGCGTTATAATGCCGTATCTAATCAAATTTTCAATAGAGAAGTTGGTCAGAATTTTTTCCATTTAATTTTAACATATTCAAAAAACCTTGAAAGAAGGAACTTTGCCGACCGATTGGAAGGAAGCTCAAATAACACCATTGTTCAAAGAAGGTGACAAAAGTAGCCCCGGTTACTATCGCCCTGTCAATAAGGTATGGAATCTGTTGTGAGGGATAGGATTATAGATCACTTGACTGTTCATCATCTCCTATAAGACTGGCATTTTTAATTTAGACTGTTAACATGGCTTTATTGCCGGTAGATCCTGCACCACTAACTTATTGTCTACGCTGAACGATTGGACATGCCTGCTGGACGACAGGGAGCTAGTGGATGCATTGTACCTCAATTTTGCCAAAGCATTTGACAGTTTTCCGCATGAGCGGCAGTTGCGTAAAATCAAGTCTTTGGGAATAGAGAGAAACGTACTCCACTGGATCAGACATATTCTAGTATGTATCAGACAGGGCATCAGTGAGCAGTGGCATGCCACAAGGAAGCGTTCTTGGGCCTATTTTGTTCGTTGCTTTTATAAACGATCTGCCAGAAATAGTGGCAAGCGTGTGCTCCATGTCTGCCGACGACACAAAAGTTTATAATACAGTGAAGTATGCGTCAAATACAGCGCAATTGCAAGATGATCTTGACAAATTAGTTCACTGGGCTGATACGTGGGTGCTGCGTTTTAATGCTGACAAGTGTAAATTACTTCACCTCGGGAAGAACAATGAACAGCAAGATGGTATGAGAAGACATGGTTGCAACGAGAGGGTAATGATTGAAAATTCATTGATTGATTGAATTGATTAAAAAGAAACGCAACATTATAAATCCAACGAATTTATTAGACTAATCACGCTCTTACGAGTTCATAGATGCAGAAGCGACGAAGCAGTTGTTTGTTGCTGTCGTGCGCGGCCGGGTGCGCCCGAACCTGGAGTTAATAAACGTGCAACAAAGACGTGTTCAAAGACGTGCAACAAGGATAATTCCAGGCTTGAAGGGCAAATCCTATGAAGAAAGATTAAAGATTATGAAGCTTCCAAGTCTCTGCTATCGACGTCTGCGTGGGGACCTCCTTAAAGTATACAAGTATATTAATGGTTTATACAAGGTCCCAGAAGGATTATTAGAATTTAAAACAAGAACCAACACCAGGGGCCACGATCGACTATAAATTAAAAAAATGCGTTGCTACTCAGCCACGCGACATTTCTTATCGCTTCTAATCACCGACGTGTGGAACAGCCTCCCCGATTACATCGTTGACGCTCGAAGTATAAACGTGTTCAAGAACAGACTATAGATAAAGCTATTTAAAAATATATATTCAGACTTGAAATGGTTAGCACCATATCGTACCAGGTGTAAGTCTAGTAGATATTTCAAACTATCGTCAGTCTTGGAGAGATCCGGTCAAATGACACGATTTTAGACCTTCTGTGAACAAGTCACGAAAAGTACATGAATTTTTTTCATGTACTTTTTTATGATACATGAAAAAATACATGAAATCAGTTGGATATGATCTCCTGCCCACACGCTTCCGTTCTCGACTTTCAGAACTGATGGATATGATCTGTAACCATCAGTCTATGGATACAGATCATATCCATAGACTGGCCACATCAGGCCTACTCTTCAGCGCCGACATAACTATGTTATGTTACGTTATGGATACTGCGTTATGGGCGGGGTGTTATGTTATGTCAACTATGTTTGGTTAAGTAAATTTCAAATTTAACTCGTTAGTTTGAATTGTTCCCACGTACTCCTGAACAAACGACGGAGCTGATCGCAGAAGCGTTTCTTTTCCGTTTCTTGTCTTCTTTATTTTATTTACAGTTTCCTTGCTCTTAAATTGTAACAATTTCCATACATTGCAACGAACTCTGAATTTAAAGGAGGGAATAATTGAACAACGCTCTATCAAACAAGGACGATAAATTTAGCAAAAAACCCGCAATATCAACGGGGAATGCAGCAAATTTTAAATCACAGTATCAAGAAAAGGTTTGCTTCCCAATTATTGAAACCAGATCACGTCTAACTACCGCACTGAAGAGACAATTAAGCGATGCCTTGTGGTTGTCTTGCATCTCAACCAAGGAAAAGTCCCGCAAATACCATCAAATTTTCAGTCTACTGATACCCAATTATCAGGAAAGCATTCGATAAAAGTATGTCAATAAAGTTATTCATTTATTGCAGAAAAGTAAATCATTGGCTGTGTGCCTGCACGACCATCTTCATTTGAAGAAAAATTAAATTAGCTCAATATAAATATTAGTATTCAATTATATGAGGCCCAGTAAATAAAGAACATGCGCTATCTAAATAAATGCCTAAAGTGCATTAGGAAAATTGTATCATTAGGAAAATTTTGACTTCCTG